ATTTTTCGCAATTTTTGCTGCTGCATGCAAACTTGGACATACCTTTTTAACCTCTTCCTCACAAATAAGCGGTCTCTTGCATTTGCGATTTGTCTGATCTCTTTTGTTCGCTGGAACAATAATATGGCAACTTAGAAATTGCATGGGATAAATTATCTTCCATGAAGTAGAATATTTTATTTGGGATCTTATACCAGCTGGCACATCAACCGTTTCCAAAATAATTTAATATTACAATATATATGCTAGTTATTCATTACACTATATATACATAACAAGTTATTACAAATAGAGATAATTACATACTCACACAGACACATACTTTATATTCCTTTTTGCCTTCCTTCCAGTTTTCTTATGTTGAAGCATTTAATTCTTATGAGTACATGCCCAGCCTGATGCCTTGCTATTAATTTTTGGGTTTCAGGCTTCTCGCTAGGGGGGATTCAGTTAAAAACATGAATATAGAATGATTTGACCGGGGGGGTTCTTCTCGGAAGAGGCTCCCATTGGTTCTTTTCTAGCAAGCGACCACCTCCCGTAAGCGGCCACTAAGTCTTCGCATGGTCGCTTCAGAGCCAGTTTGACTGTAGTAACATTTTTATTTGTTGTGTATTTTGTCTAGCCACCCCTCCTCTCCACAACGAAGTTTGTGTTGGAAAAAAGACAAAATAAAAAGCAAGTTGGCGAAAATTTATTCTTGCCAAGACGTGGTCCCTTCTGTCCTTGGTCTGCCAACAGAGAGTCAAAGCTTTTAAACAAGTGGTCGTTCCCGGGGGGGAGTAGCCTGCGAAGGGCAGACGTTTCTTCCTCGCTCATCACCACTGAGGGACGTTTCACGAGGAGGAAACGGTCCCTCAGCGGCGATGAGCGAGGAGAAACGTCAGCCGTTCGCAGGCCGGGGGGGGGGGGGGAGGGGGGGATATTCTCTATAATGGTCTATACGGGGAGGCTAGCGCTCCGCCCGAAAGGGGTACATTTATCAGGCTTCAGGTATATGAAAGGGTGGAGATTTTACTCGTTGAAGTATTTAAGAGTGAGTCCATGGGTGCACCAGGCAGGTGTGCTACATGCTATCTCTCCGATTTCAATGAAACTTGGCCAGTTTAAAGGGTCTACCCCAAAACTCAAAATGACAAACTGGTTCACAGTTTGGATCTTTATGGTGGGAGATAGCCCACCCAACTGATTTAATGAGATTTTTTACCAATAAAAGTGCATTAATAACAGGCAAAAGTAGAAAGCTCTCAGGACAACTGCTTTTAACCTTTGACTATGAAGGTTTGTATATATGTTGAGAAATCTTTGACCAATGCAAGAATGTAAGTTTCAGTCAATTTGATGGACAGCTTGTCAATCACCGGCCTTGAATATGGGACCACCTTTTTAGCCATTCAAATACTTGCTGATTTGGAGATCAAATATCTTTCCTTGCCAGAAAGCTATGACAATAATTTTGCTATTCCATCTTTACCAACCCTTTGGTCTACAACAAACATAAAAAACATTTCTGGGCTCTTCCTTTTTTGGGCGTCAGATGCCACTTGAAAACTGCCCCTAAATCCAGCTGATTTCCACTTCACCTGTCGAATAATTCAGCAATTAACGGCCGCTGAAGTTACTAAACCCACATTTTCCAGCCCGTTATACAAGAATAATAATTGGGGAGTTTAATGCATGCTTAAAACGTTCGAGGTTTTGCGAGAAAATTAAAAATTTCACAGTAATTAGTGATGTATGTCACCAAAATATCGAAGGCAAAATCGTAATGTTTGTGACCTTGTTTTGATTTTCTCACAAAATCAGAGATTATTCTTCTTAGAAGTTAAACTATACAGAAGTCCTTCATTCCAAGTGTTATGGTCTCTACCGTGACAAGACCAAGCTGTTTTTAATTTCCTGGGGAGATTTCAAGGCCACATGGTGTGTGGTTGTTGACCACAGGCAGCCCAGACGTAGTATGTGTCACTGAATGAATATATTTATATTCACATGGACAAATTAATGCGATGAGTCGTCGAAACTCCCATGGACTAAAATAGTCTAAACGTCAAAATGTAACAAAACAAAGCTAAGATACCTTCAACTGAACGTATCCTTGTCTTTCCTGGCCGGTTTAAGTGGCATTTTATTGAGTTTTGCAATTGTAGGTACTATCCACTAAAGAAGAACTAAAGGCTGGCTACAAAACAAACAGACCATCTCCACGCGCCTTCACACGAAGCGCTATAAATTCGAGAATAATCGACGAATCCGCTCCAAATAACCATCGGCTAATCTGCAGGTAACGTGTGCTCCTGCTTCTGGCTCGCTTGCTCCACAAAACCCATCGCAACTGCACAATAATTGCTCGCTCATCAACAACCACTGTTGACCTTTACGCTTCGATATGACCGCAACCGACCAGGTATAATACGCGACGTGAATGCTCAAGCTTAGCGACCGCGTTCGCGCAACAATGCAGCACTTGCTATGGGAGGGATGGTACTATTGCTTCTAGGTCAATCGACTGACCGATGGTTCGCTGCGCTAGTTTTGACCAGAAAACAAAAGGCGATCGCGGGACCGTCTGTAAGTTTTCAACAGGGTAGCCCTGGTTTTCAATTTCGAATTCTTCTAACGTTCGCTGTCTCAGCTGCTGTCACATTGTTCGTCCAGCCGCTTGCATAGGTTCTTGAATCTACCAGACTTATTTGCTTAGATTAACAACGTCTTACTCCCTAATATGTTGTCCAAACCGGTGAAGGAGGACGAGAATTTTCCGCCCAGGAAAAAGGCAAAATCTGGTCCCCGCTATGCAGCTGAATAGAAGATACAGCTGAAGATATCGTAAAGTAAAATTTATGTGCGCGATATCTTTTTTTATTATTATTACTATTCTCAAAACTCAGGGGCACCCAACGATGATTTCCTTCTACATGCATTGAAAACACATATAAGGCTGTCCAGAGTACTTTTGATCGAAAAATGCATTTTAAACAGCGCTTACATAAATTTAGTCAGTAGGGCTAAAAGCGTAGCTAAAGATTTATAGCTTGCTCATACTAAATATAAAATATATCGTGTAATGCTAAGCGGAGAAGGCAACGAGACAGGGCCACCCAACGACTGTTTCCTCAAATACTTTCAATTGAAAACACTTTTGTAGCTATTCATAAAGTACTTTTAGTTCTATAGAAATGCATTCTAAGTGGCGCTATAAAATTTGCATCTCAGTGTTCGCCATTCTAGAGGAACTTGAGTCTTTTCGAAATTACGAGGAATTCAGAATTATTTTCCCGAAAATTTTAGATGCAATTTACCGTATTCTGAAGGAGATAATTTTTCAGATACCTTCTTTCATCACATTTTTGAATCGGAAAATTTTAGGATTCCATTTTACTCTCTACGAAAAGTAGCCTAACCCTGTGAGTGAAATGTGAAAAATTAAAAGTTGGATGCCCTTGAACAGAACTGTGAAAAACAACAATAGGTCTAATTGCAGCAGACTTTCTTGTACATTTCCTAGCCGTTGATTTGCATGACTGCAACGTGAAACGTCCAGAAAACTTCCTGGTTTTCACTTTTTATGGAGAAAATGTGGTACATGTTCTTGTTCACTTTTTCCACTGCCGCTCATTTCTTTTAGCTCCGCTATAAGATTCGTATCTGTTCGGTGCTCCTTGGGCAAACTGGATCTTTTGAAAAATTACAAGGGCTTCAATATTATTTTCCCGATTGATTGACCTGGAAGCAATAGAACCATCCCTCCCATAGCAAGTGCTGCATTGTTGCGTGACGCGGTCGCTAAGCTTGAATATTCACGTCGCGTATTATACCTGGTCGGTTGCGGTCATATCGAAGCGTAAAGGTCAACAGTGGTTGTTGATGAGCGAGCAATTATTGTGCAGTTGCGATGGGTTTTGTGGAGCAAGCGAGCCAGAAGCAGGAGCACACGTTACCTGCAGATTAGCCGATGGTTATTTGGAGCGGATTCGTCGATTATTCTCGAATTTATAGCGCTTCGTGTGAAGGCGCGTGGAGATGGTCTGTTTGTTTTGTAGCCAGCCTTTAATTCTTCTTTAGTGGATAGTACCTACAATTGCAAAACTCAATAAAATGCCACTTAAACCGGCCAGGAAAGACAAGGATACGTTCAGTTGAAGGTATCTTAGCTTTGTTTTGTTATATTTTGACGTTTAGACTATTTTAGTCCGTGGGAGTTTCGACGACTCATCGCATTAATTTGTCCATGTGAATATAAATATATTCATTCAGTGACACATACTACGTCTGGGCTGCCTGTGTTGTTGACAAGCTTTGAATCACGCCAGTATAGCGCTAGTCACAAAATATCGTCAACTCGCAAATTTAAAAACAACATTCAGTGATGAGAAATTCTTTCTTATAGCGATAAAGAAATTACACTTGAAATGTTCGTTAAGTTGAGGCTACAACCTCAGAAAAAGAATCGTGTTAGTTTTACTTACCGCCGTCGATCTACGCAGAAGTATTATGTGTGCTGCGTGACGAGACAATATTTGTTTAGAATCCACTTCAGGAGCTTTCAGAAGGTCCTGCTAATCTCTATAACTATACTTATCTCCTTCTATCTTCATTTTTTTTTTTTACAAATACGAGTTTTTCGAAGATCTCTGTCACTCTCGATCAAGATTATTTACGACCATGTATCATGTGACAAAAAGAAAGAGCCTGCAATGTTTTGATCAGCGAATTTCCCGCGCCTTCCCCGGCAATTTACATATATTCTAAACAATTTTCGGCTGTCTAAACAGGAAGAGAGAATGAATAAAAATAAGCCTGAAAGAAATAGCTGCGTTGGCCAGAAATCTGCTGAAACCAAGTTAACGCTTATTCCACTTGATAAGAACTTGGGAATTGGACTAATAGGAGTCAGCGAGGTTTTGAGACCAATAATTGGCAAGACCATATCCACCTTCTTAAAGGAGGAGATCGATGGCCACAGTGCGGGTGTTGAGGCCACCATATATATACACGCCATGGCCCACATTTTTGATGATGATGGTACAGACGGAATCCTGTTGGTTGACTGCAACATCCAAATTACTTTCCCTGAAATGTCCATATCATCAACACGTACAGAAGTTCCTCGAGATTGTTCACCTGTGGAGGGGAAGAGATCTTATCCCAGGAAGGGACAACACAGGGTGACCCTCTAGCGCTAGGTGGTGTGCGATCAACACATCCATCTTGATTCAGGGCTTAAGAGCGCATATACCTGAAGTTAAGCAAGTACCGTAAAGTTCCGATAGTAACGACCCCCCGAAAGTAGCGACCCCCCGAAAATAACGTCAATTTTTTGTGGCCACTAGTAAATCCCGAAAGTAGCGACCCCCCCAAAAGTAGCCACCCCCGCCCCCCAGAAAGTAGGGAGACCAATTTTTTTATATTGAATACGGTATACCTTTAATTTGTCAATCAATAGTCAAAATTTTAATGTACAATAATGTGTTCGTGCAGTGTCACAAAATGTTCACGATAAGGTACTTTAATTTACAACAGGGGGCAGCTTTATGCCCCCATTCGTCCTTGACAGCAGTTCACTGATGTAGCGATGTAAGAACTGCCGTAAACCGGCATAATTTCGTATTAACAACAGGAACATTTCTTCAAATTGAAATTGAACACTCTATATAGTTTTCGTCGATTAACATGAATGTGTTTCTTCCAATTAAATGACACTGAGATACCGGTACGGGGTACAGACTAAAACGCAGCGGTGCGTCATGCAGGACAGTCGAAGCAGTTTAGCTTTCCACCTCTGAGTGAATGAAGAACTCGATCTCCTCTATATCGGCTGATTCACCCATGTGGTAGTCCGGTAAACCATCGATACCATTGGAAAAAAGCTCGCGCCAGCTCTATTTGTAAACGAGTTTTGTTCCCCGAAAGTAACGACCCCCCGAAAGTAGCGAGCCCCAAAGGCTGCTAATTCCGAAAGTAACGAGGGTCGCTACTATCGGAACTCTACGGTATGGCTGGCTGATGACTCGACGGAAGGTCGCCCAACAGACCTGTTATACAACTGGTACAAGCTTTTTTGTCAAGAAGGAAAGAAATGTGGCTACCTAGTCAATGGCTCCAAAAGATAGCTGATAGTAAAGCCCGGGTAGTAAAGACACAAGATCTAACAAATGAGGCCGACTTGGTGTTTGGAGAGGGGGTCAGAATAACAACGGAAGGTCAACGACACTTAGGAGCAGTCATTGGATCCCAGGAGTACAAAGGCCAATAATGTATTGGAAAAGTTCAGGGATGGAGGGAAAGCATCAAGTTGCTGCAGGCTGAGATCGTAAAGAGTCAACCCCATACCGCCTACGCAAAGGGCTACAAATCGAAGTTTGCATATTTTATGCATAAAAATGGCTCATTTAAAGACTAGGTGGAACCAACTGGCGAAGCGATCAACGGTATTTTCCTTCCAGCTCATTTTGGTCAGACGGAACCGCTCCCTGATGAGTTGGCAAGAACTATTCTCAAGGGGGTCTGGGTATACCAGACCTGAAAGCTGAAGCCTCACAGCAATACGTTGCCTCAAAGTTAATAACAGCAACGTGTAGCAGCTAGACTTTCTAAGGTCAAGACCGCAGGCCAGAGACAAGGGTGCAAGGGTGGCTCAACTCCGTTGCCCTTGAAGAGCAGGGACTGTGGTGTAAGAAGAAGGGTTTTGTTTCACAAAGACATGATGGCAATCCAGAACCTTCTCACATCTCTTCTCAGCAAAGTCTGCAAGGATGTCGAGGTAGAGCCCCACCTCCTACTGATGGACATTGACGTATTCAACCTAAGCTCCGCCGTCACAAGTCCTCAGGCTAGACTGGACATAAAGGCAGGAAGTTTCTGGTCACGAGGAGAAACATAATTCTTCGATGTATGTTATCCATCTGAACTCAACGTGTAACCAGAACAAATCCAAAGAATCGATCTTCGTGGAGCAAAAAGATGAAAAGGAAGTACCAACAAAGAGTTATGGTTGTGGAAATGGGATCTTTCCTGCCCCCCTGCCCCCTTGTGGTTTTTGGCACAAACGGGGGAATGGGGAAAAAAAGCAAACTTTTTCTGAGCAACCTAGCGGACAAACTTTCCCGAAACAACGTCGAGTCGTATGCCAGTGCCATATCTTGGCTTGAAACATGCATATCTTTTGAAATTTCAAAATCTCTCCACACATGTTTACGAGGTTCCAGAACCCCTTTTCACAAGAATGCTGACTTTTTAGATGATTTTAATTTAGTGTTAATGCCAGGAATGAGGACATTTTAAAATAAGTTTTAGTATGCTTTTTTAGGGTAGTTTTAGTGCACAGTATTTTTATTAGTTGGTTATAGTTTTTTTAGTAGACCGTGTATTTTATTTAGGATGTCTCTTTAAATGTTATATGTCGTTTTTATCAAATGTTCTGCAATTGGTATAGGATTTAATGGAGCCGAAACCAATTGTGGAATTGCACGCATTTTAGGCATCCTACTGATGAATAGTTGCGACACGTAGATATATATTTTTTAGCAACTAAGATAATTTGCAGTCTGTCTACTTTGAATTATCATTGTAATGACAATAAACGCCTTTTTACACAAATAATCGACAATAAATGTCGCAGCTTTTAAACAGGAAGTAAACACGGAATATTTAGTAACAAAAGATCAGGTGATTCGGTGAGTGGAGGCGGGGAGGGAGTTGGGTCTGTATACAGGCTAAAGTGTTTCTCAGTTTTGGCCTTAGGGAGACAAAAACAAAAATGTAAATATTTATTTTTTTAGTTCTGCTTTGTGTTGTTTATTTTTATTCATTCTCTCTTCCAGTTTGGACAACCGGAAATTGTCTTAAAAGATGTATGTCAAATGCCGGGGAAGGCGCGGGAAATTCGCTGATCAAAACAGTGCGGGCTCTTTCTTTTTGTCACGTAATACGTGGTTGTAAATCATCTTGATTGAGAGTGACAGAGATCTTCGAACAACTTGTATTTGAAAAAAAAAATGAAGAGAGGAGGAGATAAATATAGTTATAGAGACAAGCGGGACCCTCTGAAAGCCTTTGGGAGGCAAAGAAGTGGATTGTAAAGAAATATTGTCTGGTCACGCAGCATACATTATAGTTTGGCGTAGGTCAACGGCGGTTAGTAAAACTAACACTATTCTTCTTTGTAATACTATTCTTTTTCTTAGGTTGTAGCCTAAACTTCATGAACTTTTTAAGGGCATAATTTCTTTATCGCTAGAGGGAAGAATTTTTCATCATTGAATGTTGTTTTTAGATGTACGAGTTGACGTTGCTTTCATGACTGGCATATACTGGCGTGATTCAAAGCTTGTCAACAACCGCGCACCATGTGGCCTTGAAATCTCCCTTAAAACAGCTTGGTCTTGTCACAGTAGGGACCATAACACTTGTTGAATGAAGGACTTCTGTATAGTTTAACTTCTAGGAAGAATAATCTCTGATTTTGTGAGAAAAGCAAAACGAGGTCACAAACATTACGATTTTGCCTTCGATATTTTGGTGACATACATCACTAATCACTGTGAAATTTTTAATTTTCTCGCAAATCTCGAACGCTTTAAGCATGCATTAAACTCCCCAATTATTATTCTTGTATAACGGGCTGGAAAATGTCGGTTTAGTAACTTCAGCGGCCGTTAATTGCTGAATTATTCGACAGGTGAAGTGGAAATCAGCTGGATTTAGGGGCAGTTCTCAAGTGGCATCTGACGCCCAAAAAAGGAAGAGCCCAGAAATGTTTTTTATGTTTATTGTAGACCAAAGGGTTGGTAAAGATGGAATAGCAAAATTATTGTCATAGCTTTCTGGCAAGGAGAGATATTTGATCTCCAAATCAGCAAGTATTTGAATGGCTAAAAAGGTGGTCCCATATTCAAGGCCGGTGATTGACAAGCTGTCAATCAAATTGACTGAAACTTACATTCTTGCATTGGTCAAAGATGTCTCAACATATATACAAACCTTCATAGTCAAAGGTTAAAAGCAGTTGTCCTGAGGGCTTTCTACTTTTGCCTGTTATTAATGCACTTTTATTGGTAAAAAAATCTAATTAAACCAGTTGGGTGGGCTATCTCCCACCATAAAGATCTAAACTGTGAACCAGTTTGTCATTTTGAGTTTTGGGGTAGACCCTTTAAACTGGCCAAGTTTCATTGAAATCGGAGAGATAGCATGTAGCACACCTGCCTGGTGCACCCATGCACTCACTCTTAAAAGGGGAGGGAAATCGGTCATTTTGGTCAGTGAAAGGGCCCAAAAGGACTAACGGATGAATTTTCTGCCTTTATAAAGTCCATTAAACGTTCTATTTTTGTGAACAGACAGTGCATTTACCGAAGTTAAAAGGGATGCAAAGTTCTAAACAAGGTATGTCCGATCAGCCTTGCCTTCAATTTTATATGTGAAAGGGGTACCATTTGTCAATAGAAGTTATACAAAAGGGGTACCTTTGTCGTGAAAAATGGTATGTAAAAGGGTAAGAGGTTGGACCTAGGGGCGGAGCCTCCTCGTGTAAACATTTGTTTAGTACACCCCCTCCCCCCTTTGGGTGATCGTCATCATTTAGACTGATATCACTGTGATTATAGACTGGGAGCAGTCTCTTATTTTTGTTTTTAAAGTTACTGCACGAAAAACCAAGCACGCGAGCGACGAGCGGAGAAGCCGCGAGCCGCCCGATAAACCAGGTGGGCGATAAACGTCATGGTTTGCAATCGCGCTAGATGAGATGAGAGCTAGACGGATTTTAAGGGAAGAGGGGGACTACAAGCCGTCTACTGTAATTAACGCTCAAAGAACATCTTGATACACTTCACTGTTGATGCTCAATTCATGTTTCAGTATTTTTTTTTTCACTTTTCATTTTAATTTATCTCGAGATAGAAGATGGGCCTTCGATTCAGGGTTTTGCCAAGAGAGGATATCTGAGGTTAGACAATAGGGACTTTAGGGACTTTAAGACCCAACGACGCGACGGCGACAAGAACGTCGCTGAAAAAGTGAATTTGCGTTATTTCAGTCTTTATAGCGATTATTCCTACCCACTTACTTTGTCCATTCTAGGCGAACCCTCCTGAAGCTGAATTTCAAGGGACCAAATTCAAGCTCAGAAAGAGAAATAAAATTTCGTCGTTGGTTGTTTACGTCCTCCATAAAACGCGAAATTAGGCATTTTAACGTCGTAGTCGTGCAAAAACGGGAAAGAAATGTACAAAAAAGTGTGATGCACGTGCGAAGTTGTTTTTTTTGCTAATTAAACCAATTGTTTTTTTTTGCGTTCTCGTTGTCGTCCGCGTCGTTGGATCTTAAAGTCCCAAATCATTTTGCCAGAGATGGTTAAGGGAGTGGGAAAGGGGGTCTCTTGCCCCCTCATCATCATCATCATCATCGTCATCGTCCACTTCCACTTATCCAGTGGGTTTCGGGAGGAGCCCATTTATGGGCTCCTGGTTTGGGACTCCAACAAAGGTAGGAGACTTGACTTGCACTTCATTTATCTTTACGTTACTGCGATAAAATTGATTGGGGCCGTTAATTTTTGGGGCCGCCTGTGCTTAAATTTCTCCAGAAGCTTGCTTTAGATTTTCCATATATTTGTCTGCAATTTACCCGGGCAATTTTTTCAGAAAAATGTATAGAAAATTAAAAAATAAGGTTCTAGGTCTTCTAGCGCAGGTAACGCCCTCAAATTTTTTCAGTAGAGCAATTCATATGTTTTTCAAAACAGCTATTTAACGGAAATTATTCGACATTAGATTCTCATACAAACATTGTAATTTTTCACGCGTTTGCCTACTCGTCACGATGGAGTCGAAAACCGTGACAAGGTCCATTAGGACCCTTTTTTCCGTGTTTGGTCATTGGTGTAATTTAATATGAAAATATTATTCCCCGTTGCTTGGACGCCCGACATAGCTGGAAGAATTTTTAACACTCTCTCCTTTACGTCAGGAAGCTAGTGATTGGTAGACGGAAATAAATTCACATTTTAATTCTATCCAAGCATAAGACTGATCCATGTATTGACTACTGAAGAGTATTTGTGAAACTTGCACCTGAACTCGCGTAACCACAAAGCAGTATTTCCCGCCATGTTGAGAAACCAATCAAAACCGACAGTCATCAAAATCTCGTAATTTGTACATATCACGTGACTTACCTCATTCCTTCACAGAAGACGGACGCTTGCCGCAGGCGGTGAATAATCTTTTCACTCATGTTTTGTTTAGCAGGTTTTGAGTTTTGTTTGAGTCCCTTCTTGGAGAGATGACGATAGGTTTGCAGTAAGCCATGACTAGGCCAGTGACTGCAGATTTACGACGAGAGAGCCTCGATATGCTCGGAGTTGGCGGCTCTTTTAACGAGAAACACAACGCAAATAGCTTTGTTGACGAGGCCACAGAAAATTTTCAGATGCGAAGACTCGATCAGGCTTCGAAGAAGAGTGCGGATTCTGCGGTTCAGAATGGACAGAGGAATAGAGATGAAAAACACAGGCAACGATTTACAGGGAAAATATCCAGGATTTTTCCTGAAGACTATCGAAAAATACAGAACTATTGCTTCAGATTCTTGGAGATGCCGCGTGGGTTTCTTTCGTTCTCTTATCATGCTCTTTTGTAAGTACCATCCATCTTTCCTGTTGCTGTTGGCAGCTAGTCTCCCGGCTTCATCAATATTTTATTACGTGAAAGCGAAAAATTACAACTTATTGCATGTTTTAACAGCTTTTAATACAGAATTTTTGTGTCGAAATTAGCACTTGGTTTTTCACCCCTCCAGTACAACCTTAACTTCACGCGTTTATTTATTATTTTAATATTCGAACTCTTCTGTTTTTATCTCAGAGCAATCAGTTTTTCCCCAGGGTTTACTGGTGTCATAATTCAGTGTTTTGATTTCAGTCTTTTTCATTGTGAAGTGTTTTACGGGAATCACAGTAATTCGAATAACAGTTTTGAAATTGATTTGTGTTTATACGCCATTTACGCACGGTTTTCCCTCTTGAGAAAAGTTTATGACATACGCGCGCGTGCTGTCAAAATTTTGGTCCTTCTTTGCCTTTATAATGCATATCAATCAACCTTGAAATTAAACAGTAATTAGATCACCGAGAACTTTCATTTTCTAACAATCCAAATTGTTACTTGACTAAATTGGCTTTGCGTGAGCAGAAATCTTTGATTTTGAATTATTTTGGGTCGTTTAGCAACTATTATTTTTGTTCTTCATGGAACCATTCTTTTAAAAGTTCTTTTGCGCAGAATTACACTACATGTAACTGCACAGTTCTCAATGTTGATCACCGGCAAAGAAATAATTTCTGTCCTCCTGAACCGTATTTTTCGCTTTTATAATTGTATGTTAAAAAGGTTAATTTTGGATAGATTATTTTCGTTTTTGTTGGATCAATTTTGAGCGAGTTTGTATACAATTGGACACGAAGCTATCTCAACGCGACTCATCCGCGAGATTATTTTGAATTAGGTCATTTAAAACGTTTTATATATGCTGATCAATACATCTGTTTGTGGTTTACTCCAGAAACAGATTTTTCCGTGCCAATCTTAACTTCGACTACTGAAACTATTTTAACTACCGTACACAGAATTTTAGATACTCATTTGGTTTGTGGCCGAGCCATCAGATCAACTTGCATCTTGAAAAAGCCTATTCTTTAAGGTTAGCTCTCAGTGAGAGTACATCAATTGATGTAAAAACTTTGGGTGTTCTGTTCCCTGACGACAACAGCACTGCAGTTATTATACACAAACTGCACTTCACTACGCCCTTAATCTAGCTAACCCTTGCTATGAGAGTGGATATTTTTAATAATAGCCAAATTTGAAGAAAAAGAAATTTGTTTTATAAAGTTGTAAGAAAAAATAAATAGATATATCCTTGACAAATTATTGCCAGAGCAGTCAAATTTGAATTGTGATCCAATACAGCATTTTATCAGCATGGGTGGAAAAGTGAAAGCTATATATTGAATGTCCAAATAATAGTGTGATAATAAAGAAGTTAGCTGGCCCTTTTGTTTCTCAATTGTTTCATCCATTTTGGGGGGTATTGTGTGCTTAACAAGTCTGTGAAACTTTATGAGGTGAGGGCTTTACGCCTAGAAGTGGTGGTTGTCAGAATTTGACAAAATTTCTCATTTCATTGTGTAAAATGCTGAAAAATAGTCACTTCTCATGAAAGTACTTTTTAAGAGGTTTGAATTCATTGAATACCCTCAAAACAGGATTTTGTCCACAGTCTTGAATTAAGTTAGAACTGCTTTCTTGTAAGTCTTCATTTTTCACTCTTGAGAGATATGGGTTAAGAAAATGTTTTTGTCAATTTGTCAAAAGTGCAGTAATAATTACCTGTAAAGTTAGCTATCAATCATTTACCTGTAACCATTACCATTGGACTCAAAATAATTGTTATTGTGTTGTTTAGCAGTTTTTAGCATATTATTACATATGTTTTTACATTAACCACCAGAGCTTTTTAACGTAAGAGAAATTTTTTCAATGCACTATTTTAGATTTGGCTTGGTGTTATTGTTAGTCATGTTCCTAAAGGTGATGTTTTTGTTTGGTAGATAGGGATTTTGGCAGAACAGATCTTTAAAACAAATTGCTCAAATTTTTGATCAGTGTTTCTTGCTGTGTGCGTTTATAAACACCCACGCTTTACAAGAGAATGTTAACATCGACCTTTTTGTTCAGTCATTATATAACATGTACCATCATGATAGATCATTAATTTGTTGGCAGAAAAAGAGTGCAGTGTATGAAAAGACATCCTATCCCTTTTCGAAAACTGCACTTTTACTTGGGGGAATTAATTTGTTTATTCACGGGAAGAAATGGCAGATGTTTGATTCACTCTGGTGGTAACAACTAGTTGGGTTAGGAAAAAAACCGCTAGTTGTTTATTCCTTCTGATTCGCCTGGTTGCTTGTAGACTTACAACTGTTTAAAGCTTCCTCTTTGAGTGTGCGTGATAAGCAGAGCCGGTTAGGTCATCTAGGTCATCTGTATAATATATTTAGGAGTTCCCCCTTAAATCTTGCCAAGTTTTCTTGAATCATGTACTTTGGAAAGCAGGAAGTCTTGTAAGATTGCTTTGCTTGATGGCTTTGATTCAATGACCAAATTACTCAGTTCCATCTGAAGACTCATTTTAAAGAACTTCTTTGTACCACTCTATTAACAGACCACCAGACAGTTTTCCTCAGTACCCCCTACATTTATTTGATTATTACCACTTCAAGATTCTACCCAAGATACTCAAGTCCGTAAGCATTGTTTAAAGGAGTATTGTGCCCCATAATTTTGATTTTCCAACTATTTGACAGGATTTCAACTACATGAGTGGACTCAATTTAGATCATCATAAAAAAAACCGCATCGTAAGAAAAATCGAAAGCACCGCTGTGTCATATTTTTTCCATCTCATGAGTTTCATGAAGAACTCAGTGAGGTTTAAATCATGCAGCTTTCTTTTGAATTATGCTCCCATTGTACCATGCTCTTTATTGTTAACAGCATCACAGGAAAGTTAGCTCAATAGCTTTTACATGTATGTGAATAACTCTTTATGAAAACTATACGTGTTTTCAACAGCATGACTGTTCTGCAAGGGTCAGAGATTAAAATCAGTCTGGCATAGTGGTTGGTTTTCATTCTTTAGCTTTATCAGATCTGCCTCAGTTGTTTTTCTGGTGTTTTTGGCTCTGAGTTGTTTTTATCACCAAGTGCCAAAAACATCCTGGAATAATAGTATTCCTGATTAGAGGAAGTACTAAGTGTGTTCTGTCAAAATTCTTGTTATTAAAAAGTTATAACCTTTACTATCCAACAGGAAAATTAAAGAGGTTTTTGGCTGTAAATTGTTTTGATCATCAACAGCGAAAAATTGTGGCATTCCTGTTTACATGTAAAATAGTGTGTTTTACTAAATTCCAGTCACCCCACCTAAGCCATGTATAAAATTAATGCCAAAAAACGACTGCAAACACTTTTGCTCCTAAATGTCTAGAACTGAGGGAAGTATCCATGGACATTTTGTGGTTTCAAAAAACATCCTTACCTACCCCTTGGAGTGTTATTGAAAATTCTGAGGGGGGCGGGGAGTGCTCTTAGAGCAAAGGTTTGTTTTAAGGAGAACTATAATACTAAATTGGAATTTTGAGAGGTTAGAAATGTGGGTGGGGGGGGACTCAAACTAAAACCCTTCCATAAGGGGCAGAGTGTAGATGTTTCCAGAAACAGCTGAATAGTTTTAATGTTCTGCTGTCAGAATCAAAGGCTAATGGCCTGATGATCAGTGCAAAGGCAAAATTTTTTGTGCTAAACTTCCTAAATAATAATGTTCCTAGCATTTTCAAAGACAAACACTTAATATTTGAAAAGTAATTAATATTTCAATTGTGGCTTTCTGGCTTTTCCTTATCTCTTTTAGATGCATCTACACTTAACCCCTTAAACCCAAATATCAAAATTCAGATTCTCATTTGTTATCCCTATATGTTTTCAATAGAAGTAGTTGGGAGAATTTGTTGAAGTATCAATTAGATTCATCATTCAACTCGTGTGATCATGTCCTTAATTCTCATGACCACTCTGTTTTATAAAGCAGTGATATTACAAGGAGAAATTTCATGCTGATCACTCTTAGGGCTTAAAGGGTAAATGAAGCTTTTGACGGGAAATGAAAGACATTGTTCGGTTCCACTTTATCTTTGTTTAAAAGGAGCTACATTGTAGATCACTATTACAGTATTTCAGATGTTTTTGCATATTTGACACTTTATTGTTCGTGTAAAACAAGCTTTACAATGTCCATGTATATGGCCATACTCAAGTTATTAGCAATTTACTACCGGACAAAAGTAATAGTAATTAGAACGTCATTGTCATCATGTTATCACCAAATTATTGGGACAAAAAGGAGAAAGAAAATCTGTCTCAAAGCTTAATTTACATTTTCTACCCTAACTGAAAAAGTTCTGTCATTAAACCTTTGAAATGTTTTCAACATGTTCTAGCACTGTAGCAAATGTGAAACTGCTTAACCCAAGTCATCAAGAGATACATGCAATAAGTTTCATTTTGTAAACAACCGAAGAAGCAAAGTAGTACAGTGTGAAAGTACTGCTAATAATTATACAATGTATTTCATTTGAATGGTCACTCCACAGCATTAATTATGCAGTCTGTAAAGTTCCATTCACTATACATCAAAGTACATGTAACATTCTTACAGTTGATTTATGACCATTTAACAAACAGGATTGGGCAGGCTATTTGGGTTTATAAATTATACAGGAATGTATAGTTTCTTTCAGCTCAATTCAGCGATATTTTTTTCACATAAAGAATATTACAGAATCTTTCATTTTTGATTGCTCACATATTGATACAAATTTTGTTAATTTATTTCTCTCTAACCCTTTCTTAATTTTTCTTGTTTGCAGATTTATACTTGTGATAGTTAGTTTAATTTTAACTGTGTTGAGCACAGTCCAAACAGAAGAAAAGAACTTTCAAGACATTTTACATGTACCTGTATTAGTTGTGGTAAGTTCTTGAAAATCAATGGCCGCTTGTTTCATTTTCTTTACAGATGTTTTGGGCTCATACACCAACCTCCCTTTCACTGTGTGTGTCTGTGATAGAGTCCAAGATTAAAGGAGTGGTTAATATCAGATTCCTTGTATTCAAAGAGATGAAAGAAATGTAAAGTCCAAAAATTGATTTTAGTGGATTCTCTAAGTTCAAACTCCTGGATTTCAATAAAGGAATATTTTTAGATTTGGATCACCCCCTCCCCCTCCCCCCCCCCTCTACAGAAAAATGTACACAAAGTCACCGCACTTTACATCTAAGTCCATTGAGGTGCAGGTTTTCACAGCAAGATGAAGTTTGAGACCATTTAATGAAAAGTTTAATTATACTCTGTTCCTTCTTTATTTACATGACATTGTAAATCATGTAATCAACATGTTCTTCTGTAAACATTTTGTACATGTAGCATGTTTTGAACTCAATTCGCTTGATTTCTTTTTGTTTTTTGTTTCTTTCACAGGAAATTACATTGATAATTTTATTTGTGATAGAGTATATTATACGACTGTGGGCAGCGGGCTGTCGCAGTGCTTATGTAGGAATAAAAGGAAGGCTACGTTTTGCTGTTCAAATCTATTCAATCATAGGTATGCTGGGCGAATGAATTTCTTTTTATTTTGGTGTCGATGGTCACTTGTGTCAAAAATTTTGTTTATATAGTGTTTGTACAGGTCATGGAAAACCTGGAAAGTCATGGAATTGAAGAATTTCATTTTCCAGGCCTGGAAAGTCATTAAATTTAATTGTTGGTCCTTGAAAGTCTTGAATAATGAAAGTTGTGTGTGGTAGATTAATTACCGCAGATGGCAAAGCAAGGAAAACTTAAGATCAAGAGGAGTAATTAAACAGTGCAAACAGCATGCATTTTGGTGGACACCAGAGTTTTTGTCTGTTGAACTGTTTAAAGTCAAAAATATGCTAAAACAAGAAAAGTTTTGACAATTTTCAAAAGTGACAGCTAAAGCCAAGGTCATGGGAAACTTGAAAGGTCATGGAAATAGTTGTGGAAAGTTGTAGTTAATTTTCTGTTGTAGTTAATTTTTTATCTCAGGTAACTTTCCTGTGTTTTTAAGTATGGTAATGTATGGTAATGAAGTCGAAACAAAGGAAAAATAAATATTACCTGAGATAAAAAATTAACTACAACATCTATAAATAAATAAAAGCCTAATAAAATGTGTCAGTACTCTATAATGCTGCTACAACACTCTGAATTTAGGTTGAGTATCCTCTGATAGCATTGAGTGCATTAATTTGTTATTTTTCCTTGATCTGCAGATATGATAGTTATTATTTCTTCAATTGTGGCAATCTCAGTGGCCAGCTACGCTTCATCTTCTTCAGTTAGGTAACAACACTTGATGCATTTATCATTAACCTTACCTTATTGCATTGAGCTGCATGGGTAACCTGAAATTTTTATTTGTTTCCATTCAGGCTTTTAAGATTTCTTCCTCTTCTTCGAGTATTAAGATTTGACCGTCAGGCAGGAACGTGGAAGCTTTTAGGTTCTGTTATTTATGTTCATCGCCAGGTGTGGATCGTTTTATTGTCTTGTTAAAAGTCCTGCATAATTCTTTACTGATAAAAAATATGGACTCGCAACTTGCCAAGCTCGACGTAATCAAAGCTCTTTCCAAACACTTGTCAATCTCATTAGTTATTCATGAAGTCAAAAGCCAGTAAATTACGACTGTTTGGGTCAAGTGGACGAAGCTTGATACCTAATGAAACACCAAATAAAACGCTACTATGTTTTCATCTGAGATGAAACATGTTTTTCATCTGAGATCAGACTGCGATGATCTTCTTTCATATAATTCTTCACCCTGCATTTCTTATATATGATTTTCATATATTCATAACTTGTCGCGAGACTCGCTTTGCTCGCTCAAATAGGAGAGCTTGCTCACAGGCTACTATGGTTCTTGACTTGGACTCATGATTTTTCACAAGATGAGTCCCATCATAACTACTTCTAGCAAAATCACTGATCAACAAGAGGGAATTGCTTTGATCTTTATGAAGTCCTTTCAACTTAGTGGGATGGAGATCAATCTGGGCAAATTAATGTGAATATTGGGGCTTACAAGGTTAAGGGGTAGGAACTGTATAAAGCTTAGAGTTTTTTTGGACCTAGTAAACTGTCCAAAACTTCCAGTGATTTTGTTACCTCTGCGTTCCGCGCATCCCTGAGGCATAAAAATCCCCAAAGACTCAAAATACTTCATGAAATGCGTCTCTTAGGATGCAAAGAACAATCAGTCCATTTCAAGATTTTTTGGTAGATTTTCCTGTTTGTGTAATTTCTGTGGCTGCATATTTATTTTAGTATTTTTTGTGCATTAAATATATGAGAATTATATTATAATTAAATCTTCAGTAAACTGTAATACTGTCTCCAGATTAAATGTCTGGTTACATAAATACCCAAGCATTTTCAATAATTACGACTCCTTGTTTTTTGAATTGGGACTCATGATTTTTCACAAGATGAGTCGCAGGACTCAACATAACTTGTAACAAAATCACTAAACTTCTTTTTTTTCATTATTATTTTCAGGAACTTCTAACAACATTTTACCTTGGTTTTCTAACATTGATATTTGCTTCATTTGTACTGTACATGGCTGAAAAAGATGCCAATGACACAGATTTTGAAAGTTGGCCAAGTTCATTTTGGTGGGGAGTGGTAAGTACTGTCAGGTGTTTCCCCTGAAGTCAGAGAGAGAGGAAGTTGAGCAATATGTTGATTGCAATGGCAACCAAAACATCAAAAAGCACTTGGTATTAATTAGTTACATGTTCATCAGCAACTCTGCATGCATCCCACTTTTTGATACAGTTGTTAACTGTCATGGCATGACTAGCCTGCAAAAACATCCATTTCTCCTTGCTCTTCGCCGCCGGGGAGGTTTCGCGTGGAGGAGCATCTGCGACTCAGCGGCAGAAATTCCATACTGATGACACAATCCAATGGTTACATGATAAATCCAGTAGTCATGGGGTTCCAAATACAAATTTGTCCAATTTTATGTGTCTTCTGTTCGATTTTGGTAAAGTGTTGTGTTTATCTGCCAACGAGCTCCAGCAAAACTCAAATGCTTCTTCTAGAGAAGACTATATTCCACAAATATTGACTGTTTTGTTAGAGATTCTTCGCGTTTACATTTGACCTTTGTGGCCTTTTGTCTTTTGTCTGTCATTTGTAAACAATAGCTAAAACAATGTAACTACTCTGTCAACCAATCAGCGCTTCTGACGGGATTCTGAACAGATTTTACGTCATCAGTATGGAATTTCTGTCGCTGAGTTGCAGACATTCCTCTGCGCAAAATGTCCCCATTGGCGAAGAGTGAGGAGAAACAGAATGTTTTTCCAGGCTACAGCTTAACTGCCACAAGAAATTTCTAATTTCGCATTTTGTGGAGGATGTAAACACATGATGATGTCAAACTGTGTTCGTAGAATGTGTGTGTCCTTATTTTCTTCAAAACAATGTGTGAGGAAACAAATTATTGGATTCAGTTTCTGTGATATCTGGAATAATCTAGAGGTCTCAGTAAGTGTTATCAGCCAAAGCGGAACACTGGCCTCGACCTTGATTATTCTGGATATCACAAAAACAGAATCTGGATCTAAAGGTAGTGTTTATATAATATTGATTTCACAGGTTACTCTAACTACAATTGGATATGGTGATGCAACTCCTAAGACTTGGCATGGAAAGCTGTGCGCTGCTCTATTTTTTCTTTGTGGCATCTCATTCTTTGCCCTCCCTGCGGTATGTTCTGATTTGATTACATTAATTTGCTTATGATTATTAATCAGTCCAACAGCAAGGTGCAGTGAACCTTGTTATAACTTCTAGTTTGGATGGGTGTGTTGGCTAGTAAGATCGTTCATCTTGGGCAATGAAATAATTTCACATAATTATTATGTTATTCTATTGTTTTTAATATTTCATAGCCAAAACTGTGAAGCCTTTTTGAAACTTTACAACCCCACTGTTTATTAGCAAAAAAATTACATTACATGATTTTATCTCTTGGCACTATTGCCTCAGTAACTAAGTCTAACTTTCAATCTGTTTTATATTAAAGGGTATTTTAGGATCAGGGTTTGCTTTGAAAGTCACACAGCAACAGCGCCAAAAGCATTTTCACAGGAGACGAAGGCCTGCAGCAATTCTTCTCCAGGTAAACTGTCTGTTTTTAGCGTAATGGTGAACTACAGCCTTATTCATTTGAGATTGCAAGTGACACTTCAAGTACAGTTACATGTAGTTTTCCCTGAGAGAGGTGGCTTACATCATCCTTTTGAGCTTTACTTGTATGACCAGTTGCAGAATTTTTCTATTCCCAGTCCTGCTTTACTGAGAAGTAACCAAACTTTCCATTGAAACACAGATTGAATGCCTCTCCTTTCAGGGTGCAAAGAAAATCATTTTTACAGCTTGCCATTCGGGCAAGCTAAAGCTAGAATATACTAGCCCAGACGTCATTTCAGCTAGCCCCAAAAGCTTTTTGACGAGGAGAATTGATTTCACGGTTCTTCCTTAATTCAAATTGCTCAAAAAACATCACTTGACCATTGGGCAAGTTTACAACAGAATTCACTAGGCCGGTAGCAAAATCCACTAGCCCCTGGCTATCGGACACTACTTTCTTTGCACGCTGCCTTCTTATGTGGAAATTTTCGGAAAGATGTTTTTTCTTTCAACCAGTTATTGCAGTTTTTTACCAACTGGTCTTTGATCATTCAGTCTTCAAACATGGGGAGTGGCAGTGTTTCAGATATACGAGATGGGTCTCAGGTCAATGACCTGACAAAGAAGGCTTCCCAGGGTGCAAAGAAAATCATTTTTACGGGCCAGCTGAATCTAGCATTTACCAGCCCAGATGTCATTTCAACTAGCCCCAAAAACTTTTTGACTAGCAGAATTGATTTCACAGTTCCTCTCTTATTCGAATTCCTCAAAAAACATCACGTGCCCGTTGGGCAAGTTAAAAACAGAATTTACTAACCCGATAGCAAAATCCACTAGCCCAGGGCTATCAGACATTACTTTCTTTGCACACTGCTTCCTGACCCAACAGATGACATATAAGTGTTAAGTTAAATATAACGACAAAACTGAGCATGTGGTCTTGGTGACCTCTTGGATGGTCTACATGACCCCCTGCTTGAAAGAATTGACTGAAATGCTGAGTGGCTTTGGTCTTTACTCAGAAGACTCCTAAGTTTGAAACACTTGGCTCTTTAGAAACAAGAAAGAAACTGGTGAAATAGTGTGCCCGGCAATTTTTTTCTGAGGCTGTTACTGGGGACACGCTGGTCAGCTATTGGCCAATTTTTTTCCTGTCCCTTGTAACAAGACAACTAACAACTTCCGAAGTCTTTGCAAAAGTTAACTTTTCCCAGTGTCCTTGTATGTATAATATGTATCAATTTTATGTAAAGAGGGTAAAGTAAAACAGTAAACTGACACACCTGCCGCCGTCATTGTGCAACAGTCAACAATTACATTAAGAAGTTTAAACTATATATGATAGAATAAACTGGAATTACAATATTAAAAGTACAACAGTAAAATAAAATCAAAAAATTGTAAATAAAAAGATATCAAGTAATAAAAATCACAATAAAGAAAATTAAGAAGATGCATAGAAGTCAATTAAGGGCTTTTTAAAACTATGTACACATTCGATCTTCTTAAAAGAAATTGGTATTTTTTTCCATAATCCAGCTGCCCACACACTAAATGTACGCGCCCCTTCGGTTTCACGTTTAAAGCGAGGGCAGACTAAGTTCAAGGAGCTATTTTGGCTGTTCCCAGGGTTTGCACGCACCATTCTCATGTGCCTAAAAGGAGCAAACACTGGAAGACCTTCAGGATAAATTTGCTCATGTTGTGAAAGAACCAAAAAAGACGGACTCAGGCTCTTTTTTGCACTGAACGGAGTCCTTGAAAAAATGGGAAATGTGTCCTTGAAAAGACCTTGAATTTTTTGTCCCAAAAAGGGTATGAACCCTGTATTCCGACCATTTATGTCCGAATTTAATACCAGAAGATCGTTCATGTAGCTTGGGCTATGCCCATTAATACACTTCATTAAGTGGCAAATATGCATTTCATTATTCATTCTTTTTACCTTTTTCCCCTTTTCTTTTAGTCCTATTGGCGACTTTTCTGTGCTGATCTCAACTCTAAATCAGTGGCGACTTGGCTGCCATCAATTTACTACAATCGACAACAACATCTTCTGAAAAGTGTCTTGGAGAAAAGTGGAACTGCCACAGGTACGGCACATGGCGACAACAGTCCTGATCTAAATAAACGGAAACGTTCCATTTGGAGCAAGCCACAGAAGGGTTTAAGGCGTGGCTCTTTTGACGCCCGCTTCTCTAGATCAGAGTCACCACTGACAGGCATTCTTGACAGAAAATCAAGCGCTTGCAGTGTTCTAGACAGTGATTTTCTGGGTGAGATTTCCGCGGGTTAGGTCGTAAATGGCACTGTAAGGTCAAATTTGGCATCAAGTGTTACTTCATTGGCTGTATGCTTGTAAGGTTTGAATTCCAAAGGACCTCCTTTTAAATAGGTGGTTTTGAATAATGAGAACTGGTCTGAGAATCGTTGATACTGAAGGAGAATGAAGAAAGTCAAATCTAGTAAGCTAACTTGCCACTGATGTCCCATTTGATGCCAAATTGCACCGTGTGTTACAGTTCCTCTCTCAAAAGCAACTGTTCCTCGAAGAGTGGTTGTCTAGTTTGTGCTTCTGTGCTAAACTCTATTGGTCGTCTCGTGGATAACCTGTAATAAAATGGCACAGGGACAGCTGGGTGCGGCCTTTAGGGTCTTGGAAGAGAGGGATGTAGTGATCCCTTAGATTTCATGCGAGACTACTTCAATTGTAGTTACCATCAGCACGGACTAATTCAGATACACCACATCAGCTTTTAAAGTCAGTAATGTGCATGTTGAAGAACAATGTTTTGTTATTGGTGATCTCACTTTTAATTTTCTTTACCTTTATAGTCTCATTCTTCTTCTGCTGACTTGCACTTTGCACACTGATGTGTAGCTCATAGTGAGGAGTGATATTACAAGTCTAGATATGCACCTAACGTTGCATGGGTGATGATAAGAGTACACCAGTTTTCTCACTGGAATCCTTAACCTGTAGCCTTTGAATACAGCCATCTCTTGTCGCTTCTCGTCCCTAGGGACGTTTCGTGGGAGAGTCGTCTGCGCTTCAATAACAGAAATTCCATACTGATGACATCAATCAATGTTTACATAAATAGTCATGGGGTTCCAAATGTAAATTTGTTTGAGTATAAGTTTCTCCTGGTCTATTTTCTTAAAGTTTTGAGTTATTCTGTGAATAAGCGGCAGCAAAACGCAATTACATTTTCTAAAGGAGAATGTATTCCACAAATAATGACTTTTTTTGTAGTAGATTAACCTCGTTTTCATTTGACCTTTTGTCTTTTTTTCTGTCATTTATAACAATACCTAAAAGAATGGAATTGCTACGTTGTCCAAGCAGAGTATCTGACCAGATTCTGGCGAGATTTTTCGTCATCAGTATCGGAATTCTGTTGTTAAGGCACTGATGTCTTTTTCACGAAACGCCCTTAGCGGTGTAGTTTGCTGTGTAGTAGACCATTAGCGGTGAGGAGCACGGAGAGTTGGCTGCCTTCGCAGGCTTCTTCAGCTGTGATATCGGTCACGGATGTTAATGAGCGGGATACCTCAATATTATTTGTTCACCAGTTCAACGCAATAACTTAAACTGGAAAGACTAAGTGAAGTTTTGTTCTAAAGTGCTTTTGAATACACCTACTGGTACCTTTATTTTAGTTCATGTGTAAACCTGCCAAGAGATCGACAGAACAGTCAATCACTTTGAACTGATTTGATTGCAAATGACAAACAAGCTGTAACATACTCACTAGATTTGAACCCAGGCCTCACACAGATGTATCTTTGAACATGCTTGAAAACATAGTTACAAGGGGAAAGTATGGGAAAGTCTGTAGCATGTCACAAGTTGAAAGTTTACTGCACAAAATTCTTCTGAGAACATCATTTTTTACACTGTGTTGTGCTGTGTCATGTATTCACGTCATGCCTTTCGGATGGATATCCCGTTCTTTCTTTATCATGCTGGCTTCATATTTTGTTGGTGTCCTTGTTTCATATCAAGCGTTTTTGATGATCATTAGGTCCCTTTAAAGCCCATCATTGTTGGCTGACATGCAATAATTTGGAAAATAAACCCGCGCGGAAATTTATTTAATAAAGAAGCAAATATTAATCAAACTAGTAGTAGTGTTAAGTAAGTTAAAAAGTTAAACACGATAACTTAAAATGCGGTTGTTAATACATAATGTTAAATAGAGGGAAATGTTTTAACAATAAAACCGTAAGTAGTTATAAGAATTATGAATTAATGGATGAAAGAAAAGTTATGATTTAGCGGTAGCATAATTCGCAACTTGACTCTACCAATCTGAATTTGAATGTGTCTTCCTTTCCGTACTAAATTGGAAAATGTTGGTTTTGAGCAGGTAAACTTCTCTTAGCAAGGGAGATCCAATGACATTCTCAAATCACATGGTTTAAGGGTTCAAGTGGCTTTTAAGAACAAAATTAGGATCAGCTATCAAGCTTCGTCGGTTAAAGTATAATAAAAATTGTTACTCTTAAGCGGATTGCGCTAACAATAGTGATACAAAGGTCTTGTGTCATACCTCACGACAAAAATTTGGGCAAGCTCCAATGGTCTTTTGAAGTACAAATATTAATATTAATGCTTCTTTAAGTTAAGTTAAATGGATTATAAAAGTAAATGTATATTTTCAGCAGATGGCCGCTCTAAACCAGGTTTATGCAGTAGTCACGATGCACTTATGACGATGTTTTCATCCCATAATATTCACTGTTCTATCGTACATCCAATAAAAGGATCGAGCCCAGGCTCGTTAATGGGTGGTAAGTTCATGTTCACAGGAACTAACCTCAGTGTTTTAAATTCATGTAACTGATTTCAGCGCGTGTAACTAGTTAAAAACACCAGCAAATCTAAAATAATTATCATGCGAAATCAAAGACGTGTAAAATCTTAAACTTGTGGATTTTCAACTCTCTTTGCCAAGTTGGTTGCCAGTGTAAGTCTGAGAACAGAGAATGATATAGGCTTGCTTAAATTTAACGTTGCTTACAGGTTTGTGAATATGTGAAATTAACTCTAAACAATAAACAGTTGACATAGTATTTAGAATAAACGAGGTCTCAAAACCCAGGATAGAAAACTTAGCAGCACGCACAAGCTTTCCACTCCGTCGCGGAATCTTTATCAAGTCATGGAGTCGAACGTTTTATACTGTGAATCACTTGACAAAAAGTCCTGGTCAAATTGCGGGGAGCTCGTAACCATCGTTCATGTTCAATGTTGGAGCCCGACAAAATATTTCGATGGACTCCCTGACTGTCGTCTTCCCTCGCAAGTATCGAGGAGGTGATATCAAAGGTGTGGCCCGGACACTTAAAGTTGACACAGTAACTTTTACAGGGGCACCCAACGAGGATATAGTTCAAAACCAATTAACATAGCATTGTTGAACGTATTTTAGTATTGAAACGGTAGATATAGGCATATTTTTATCCCCTAAAAACTTTTCATCTGTTCGGATTTCCTAGCTGAAAGTCTAGTGATCCGAAAATTATAGGGATCAAAACTTACCTTTTCGAAAATTTCAGCCAGGAAAAGGCTCCCGAAAATTCTAGGTGGCCTTTTTTAGGGTAAATATCCGTTTAAAATGGGTAATTATACCATTTTGTAGATGTTCGAAAATCCTAGGAGAGGCAGGCAAGCAAGAAATTTTACAACAAATGTTCCGAAAATTCTAGTTCTCAAATCGTCTTCCGAACAGATATTTTCCCGAAAATTGCCTGCTTTTAAAGAATAAACTTGTCTTCGCCTAGGTCAATGTCAGGTCTGACGTGTCTATTTGTTTCGTCTTGTAGATGAAAACATGCTGCTATCTTTGCAAAACGAGGGAGAAATACCTTGTATTGAGTAAGTTTTAGTTGTTTCGTAGATGCATTTTAATTTTTGCCCTAGTAATTGTTATCTTACAGTTTTTGTTGGAATACAATTACTGGTGTTATGTCATTTTTTCCTGTTTGTGTCCAGTGTAGATTATTTCATGCTCTACTTTATTCTTTTCAAACTGAACCTCACATTTCAAACCTTTGTAAAAGTTAACCCCGTTCAAGGGGAATTCAAAACAACTTGAGATTCAATGTGGGATCTAGGGACAGACTTTATTCGTGAAATGGGTCGATTTTTTGACGGAAACAATGAATGGCTATCACTGCTACATTTTTATAAACATTTTAAAAATTCACAGGGTCTTGACTTTCAGTAGAAGGTCACCAGTGCAACAAATTTGGGCGCACTGGCGCGTTTAGAGGTGCTATTTCGTATTCTAAACTATATATGATTTTTTTCCATTTGTTTATTTTGGCAGATTGAGTAACGCACAGAAGCTGGCGATTCGTCTTATTCGAATTTTAAAGCTCAGAGTAGCGATTAGAAAATTCAAGGTGAGAAAGTCGGCACTAAGGTAATCGGCTTCGCTAGTGCACGACTAACTTATCCATAGATTGCGCATGTCGACTCAACAGGTCGTCTGCGAGCATTCTCTCCGGGGCGTTCTCTCTTCTCTTTCCTCCCCCCACCACCGTACCCCCTGGTGCGGAAGAGTTTGCTCGCAGGCTACTCAACAGGCGTTAGTAAGGTACAGTCAAAAGAATGCAAACCACTGGAAGAGGTGGGG